ATACTTTTACCCTTTGAATTCTAGTTTTCCTATATATAAATTAGGTGTGAAGATTGACAACAGATTTCAACAGTTCCTAAAATCTCAGGAATTCCACACAATTATAAACATACATTATCTGTATTTTATCATTTTTTAAAAAATAGATATTTTACTTGGTTGAATACAGAAATTATCTTAACTGTAACTCTTCAGCAGAGTGTTAAAAGAGTGCTTCAAAATAACTGCAGATCAATGATGTGTGCTCTGGAGAACCTAACACTGTGACTTTATTATCAAAGATACTGCAGCAGGCTGAATGTGCTCAAAAGAAGCTGGCTAACTATATATGTTAGACATAAGAGTGTCCTCTAAAACCAAAATCTAGCTCACCCACTCAGTCCACAGGTAAGCTTAAAAACTGTCCAAGGGTTCTAAATGTCAATATGATGACTGCTTCAGAGCTATCCAGGGCTTTGGATGTGGTTTGTTTTTATACAGAAGTCTGTGGGAGAGTCACAGCACTGTTTGTGTAGCCTGCTATGAGTGAACAGCAAGTCCCACATCTAATAACATACTGTCTTCCTCTATGTATCAGGGAATCATAACATGGCATTTAAGGCCAACCAGAAGAGTTTAATGCTGTTACACATTGCAGTGGAAAGAGTATTGCATTCCTACCACTTCCCACCTGTGCACAGTGTTTGCCCATTAGGAGACATAATAGTTTTATTGCTCCCACTCAGTCTCTGAAAGACCATAAACTTTTAATAGACTTATAAAAAGGGACTGTAACTGTCTCACTAGTCTGGACAGGGCTATTTCATCTGTTTTCCTCACATTTATAATGCTGTAAATCTGGGCAGACATAGAGGGTTGTTACCTCCAGGTTAAACTTTAACACCAAATTCTCTGCTTATTCCCTGAGCTGACTTCAGTGCTCTTCACTGCCTACTCCAGCACACACTGACATTTAATGGCATTGCAACAGCTCACTTCAAAACTCCTGTCACATTAAATGCTCTCACTTACCTGTCCTCCTAGGCCTCTGAACAAAGTGGACAGTGTACAACAGATGCCTGGCTGTTTTTGATGAAGCCATTTACTGGGGAGACGGAATAATCTACCCAGACAGGTGGAGTCAACTAACTCCTCCCCCTCCCCAATACTACATTCACTGAAAATGTCACCCTGTTTAATACCTCCGTATCCTTATTTCTGTGTTATCTCTACTGTACAGGGCTATTGACAGCAGAAGGAATCCTGCCTCATGTTACAATACGGGAGAAAAACTTAAAAAACCTCAAAACATCCCTCTACCAAACCTTTAGCTACATGATGAAACACTTCACTCTGTGTAAAAGTACTTATTAAGTGTTACAATAAAAAAAAGTGCAGTGGACACGGGCAGGGGTAAGTCACTGCAGGTTTCTAAATCCCAGTGGAGCAACCAGGAAAAATAGTAGGCAGTTAAGCACAATGCAAGTGACCAAAAGCAGCAACTCCATCACTAATTTTCCTGTTGCTCTCTTGTCAGGTTACCTGGCTGCACACTTGCAGGGCAGTCTGTGAGGGTCACTTCATAGAGCCTCATCATGCTGCAAATCTAACATCAGCGAGCCAGATAACCATTGTGAGGTTTTCATACATCATTCAAATACTACCTCTTTGTGCAATTGTACCCTATTATAACTTCTGCAGTTTTGTTCAACATAGACAAATTCACAATCAGATTATTAAGTGAATCAGCAAAAGTGTCTGCCTCTCAAACAGCTCATTTGTTGGATTTTTTAGATGAGTACCTACTCCCAGCCCTGCTATAATGTTGGCAAGAGCTAACGAAAATACAGGAGATGACAGTCATTTCCCCCTTGCCCATGGCATACTTAATGCATGGCATTAGGGAATGTTTACTGAATTTGATCCTGACTCTTCTGCAACTGTAACAAGGCAGATGTTTCAGCAGGGTATTTATTGGACCGACATGGAAAGACTCTTGTGATATCAATTCAATTCTTTATCCAATTTCCTTTTTAATACAAAATTGCAACAAGTAACACTGAAGTATAACAAAGAAAGTTGCACAATGCAGAGCCTGGGTTTACAGCATAATATTAACTACTCCAGAAAACTGTAATCATTTAAGACATTGGATGTAAGTGTTAGAAGATACTCCAAGAGGTTTCTGGATGTTTTCTGAGGTTCCGTGGTCCAAGGTCACAGATAGATGGACATAACCTATTGTACACATCAACACAGCTTTTCCCAAGAGGAAACAAGTTACCTCATGCTTGAAGCTCTAAATCACTTTGTTACCAACAAACAAGTTTACCACATACAGGTACCTTGCTGCCTTGTACAGAACTAACAGCCAGTCAGACATCAAGCATTCAGCCAGAAGTGCCAAACTGTAACACGAATGCACAAGTAAAGGTTTCTTTCCACTGTAACAGCATCTACTCTTTGTAGAGGCACTGCCAGTTAGTAGCAGTCCTAGAACCTCAGGACACTCTTTTGAGGAAGAACAGAAAGCCACTAATCTCCCACAAATCTGTTTGAGAAACTTATTCCATCATGAAGACAACACTGATGGAAAACACTGACTGACAGCACTTCAACAGCTATATCAAGAAGCAAAGAAAATCCAACAGAGTTAAGTTTTCTTCAGAAAATAATTAGTAAATGATTCACAGCTAACCACTGAAGGTGTGTCAGTGTGAACAGATGGATATTTATAATTTAATAAACTGTTAATTGCGAAAAGAAAGTCTTCCAATTTAACTTTCCCTTCAGAAATGAGACTGGCAAAATAATGAGCACTAAGTGAAGCCAGGCTCTTTCTAGAATTCCCAGCAGTCTGACAAAATACATCGAATATTAATCCCATGTTCTTCTGTTTAAGCACTGCACATAACATAAACCTTCCTGGTTTTTGACCTGCTATGATCCCAAGAGAAGAAGAGTCTCTACCACAGAGTGATTGGTGACAAAGCAATTCAATAACACTTCACTGTCAAAGTATGACGAAAGTATTCGTATGAATCTGTAGTACATTATTGACAAGACATAGCACATTTTGGAAGAAAAAACTTTGGAGCTAAGAAAGACAGAGAAAGTAGCTGGGGATGCTCAAGGTGGACAAGGAGAACAGAGGGTTATCTAAAAAGAAGCAATTTAGACGAAGATGGAAACTACAAATAACTGGGACAACACTGAGCACTTGGACATTTAAAGGTGCTGTTCCTTCCTCATAGGATGTCCTCTGTTCTTTGAGGTACTATGGAAGCAATGACAGCTTGATTTTCTGCAGTTATTTACTGCAATAAATGCAATGAAATGCAGGGCAAAAATCCAACCTCTACTTCAATCTGAAGTACAACTAAGAGCATACATTTGGAAATTGGGCAAATCATTACAACAAGATATCGACTGTACCCAAATTCCCTTCCTGTTCTCCATCAGAAGTTAAATTCACAGGCAAAGCGTATCTATAGAGGGAGCCAATTCTCAGCTATGACAACAAGAGTAGTTCATAAAACTGAGTTAAGAAATGCAAGGAAATACAATAAAAGTGTCTGGCAATGAAATGAGATCTTCCAAAGGGATGTGAAAATAAAATGTATGTACTGGGGGTAAAATATTGCAGGGTATCAAATCTTTAGACTTATAAACTTTTTTCTGGAAGAAAACTGAAGGGGACACAAACTAAAGCTTCTCTAAATAGCAGAACCAAGCCCTATAAAGCACTGGTAAGTAACATCCTCCGCGAAAATCCCACGTGCTTTAAATTTGGTGGGGGTTTGTGCATTCTATTTACTTTTGAAGTTTACTGCACTTTCAAGAACACAGATTGAACTAGAGCACATCACTAAACAGCAGTGATTTAATTTTGCAAGGTCTTCATTTCCTATTGTGGTTAAGATTTCTAAACCTGTTGAAATACTGAGCTCTGTTTTCCTACATTTCATGCACAGTATTATAGAGCACCTCTGTGTTTATACCTATACCTATTATACCATGTCATTGATGTGCTGACAGATTGCACTTATTCCTGTCAACATTGGCCTCACCAAGGTGTACAGAGAAGTGTCTAGAGCGTGACAGGATTATAAGAAAAAGTCCATTTCTGTTTGCATACAATGTACATGATACTGTACATTGAACTGTAGCCCAGGAAAACAAATGAACCCCTGCTTCATTTTAAGAAAGAATTTATGTCTGCTAAGATTTTTCCCAATGCTGACTTCAGGATTTTGTATTGTTTTGTTTCATTCTCCTCCTCTCCACATATATCCTTGAACACAAACATAGGAAGTGATGTTTGCTATTTTCCACAAGGAAAGGTTTAGAGAGAAAGATAGTATCTTCTGCCAGATTGAGTTCTATAACTATAAAAAACAGATGAGATACTGGGTTCAAAATCCTTTCTTCATCTTGTCCAGAAGAAAGTAGAAAATAGCTTCATATGCTTGAAGTGTTTTTGCTTCTCCCATCTATTATCAGTTATCTTAATGGCCCATCTTCGCGAACGAAGATTTGGGGAAAGGTCTTTTACCTTTCCAGCCTGCGCAATGGATTTTTTAGGTGAGACACAGCCTGCGCTGAACTGAGCCCACCCTTTAATCCTAAGGTTCATCTGCCGGGGCCAAGCAAGCTTGGACAATGGCAGTGAGGTCCTCAGGACGTAGGTTTGTTTAGAGTGTCCTTCTCATAGATGGATGGCCACACAGGGCTAACGACCTCCCTCAGGCCAGGAGACCGGGGACTCGAACCCGTGGTCGCAGCAGTGAAAGTCCTGCACGCTAACCACTAGGCCACCAGGGGTCTCTATTATCAGTTAATCTAATAAAGAAAGATATCCTGTCCCTACAGATCTCATTTCACATAAATCCCAAGATCACCACAGTCACAACATTGTTTCTTTATAGCATGCTCCTTTATCATGCTGCTGTAAAGCAGCAGGAATCTATGAATCACATTTGCATTTAGCAGCCTGAAGTAGAGAGTCCCGCCTCACTTACCGCCTCCACTTCTGCTGGGTCATACCAAACATTAATGTATGGATGCTGTAAGGCTTCATCTACTGATATTCTCTTGGCCGGGTCAATGACCAGCATCTTTGATAAAAGGTCCCTGGCTTGGCTGGCTAGAACAATGAAACCAGAGAAATACAGTGTTAGTACAAAACAATCACTTCCTCCAGAGGAGGGTTAATTGGGTTAGGAAAATAACAATGGTACGACCCTTTTAGAGACTGTTTGTATGTACTTCTGCACCCTTGCCTTCTTACAACAAATGTTCTTCAGTAATCATTTCAGGTTGGATTCTTCAGGAAGGTGCCAACATCAGGGCTGCGCACCATAAGTTCCCTAACAAGCTTCAGTGAGATTTTACATGTAGGCACATTCCATGTAGAGGGCTGAGTAACATATCCAAGAAAAATGTTTTGATGTATTTGTGATTATTACCAAGATCAGAGAACCAAAGTTTGCATAATGAAGTCTAAAATCATGGCATTACCAAATCAAAGCCTGATACTTACAGGTACTCTTACACTGGCTCAGAAAAACATCTAAACTTCTCTGCATGTTCTAAATTTTTTCAGCTAGCTTTTTTCATCCATTAAAATTACATATTTTAAAGAAGTATAGATACTAGGCTAATCTTAGGGTACTCCATTAGAAGCAATAACTTCAAATCTGTAGCCTTGGATCAACACACAGTGGTACAGAAGTGCCTTGGAACTGCTTAAATCTTGTTTGTCCTGCATAACAAAGTTTAAATCAGTGGGACACGTCCTCCTCCACTACATATCTATATATATATGTGTGTACATATATATATCTATATATCTACACACATTGAGTTTTAAGTTGCAGCATCGATTTATTTTATGTGATAATATATCCCATTGTGCCTGTCAGGCCACAAACTCTTCCTTGTATTACACAAATGTTTTTTTACTATCTGGAGTTTGTAACAAATACAATACCACCTAAACCCATGTAAAAAAATTATAACAACATATATTTTTCTTATTATGATCCATGTGTTCTAAACTCTTTGATGCTCAAAATTATTTGCTATGTAAATGAAAAACACAGTGAAATCAAAAAAACTGTAAAGAGCAGTAAGTGCAAAAATATTATTAGGTATCTCATCCCACATGGGTGAGTAAAAGTAAGATCTGATTAAACCACTAACATTACATTATGGTGAAATATTTGGGCAGTGCATGGGATGATACAATGCTGCACAAGCAGGTTTTTTTTCCAATGTACTGTTTCTTGTTCTGTGACTATACCTTAAAAACTGGCATTAATTATGCCTAAATGTATGTACTTTCTGTATCCAAAAGATAATAGCACTGTTTGACAGTCATTTCTATTCATTAACTGCAAACCCAGAAAAATTCCATTATTCAATTGTGTTGTAGTAGGAGTATGAAATTCTGTGGATCCAAAAGCATCTGCTCAGACCTTTCACTTTGCTCCCAGAGCCAAGACAGCAGCTTGGCTATGAAATAGTTGTTAATTGGAAGAAAATTCTGGGCCATGTAATGACATGCAAATTGCAAGCAATTGAAAACCGTTACACACCACTGTAGGAAGTGGCTCCAAGTACCCGAGTGGTGCACAACTGATACACAGCACAAGTTTGCAGGGGGTCCAGAGCTGTGATGAGAAATCCTTTCTACACTAAACATACAATAATCGCTCTTTCTAATTGAGGGTCAAGGCCCTGTTCAATTAAAAAGGACTTCAATGTATGATTAAAATAATTGTGACTTTTCTTATACAGGACATATGTAACTGCACTGTAATTAAGTTTTCTCGTTCACATATGCTAACTGACCCCCAGCATTTGTTCAAAAGACGAAATACACCCATAGTGGATATTAAACCTCAGCTATGTCGTTTTGGCTGACATTACTAATATCTTTCTATTTTCTAGTAAAGGTAGAGCTATGGGGCAGGCATCTGGCTGATCTGGTATTTTACACCTGAAATAAAACAGTGCAAATGCTGAGATCTTCCAATGGAAGTTCTACTGCTCCTTTGTATCACAAGTTCAAAAATAAGAATACAGGAACATCTCAGTTCCTCATGTTACAGAATCTTCACATGGACACCATGGGGATATGGTCAACGCTTAAGTGATTAAGTTCCCTTGGCTGCCCAAGCACCAGGATCTCCAAAAATCATTTCCAAAAGCCTCTCAGGTGAACAAAACCCATGCAGTCATTTGTCTCTGCAATTAACTGCATTAAATGGGAGTGCAACTAGAGAGAAGAAAAATCGGAAAAATCCTTCATTGCGCTGTAGCTGTTCCATATGAACCGTGTCTCTTTTCAGACATACCTTTGAGTTTGTTGTGTTCCGAGTCAGCTGGGAAGAGAGAGTCTGGAAAAAGTTTGGGGAAAGTGAGGCCAGCATACTTGGGTCTGTTTTCAACGTAGTTCCGTACCGTCGGCTGCAGCTTCTTCATGAATTCTGGACAGGGTGTTCCCAGCTGCTCAATAACTTTATTCCACTGATCAATATCTGAACATCAGTAGTTAAGGGAAACAAAATGCAAACCCCAGTGTAGTCTCCTGACATTTCTGCTTGTGTTCTCTGAGAACCCTCAGAGGTGTTTAGCTCTCTTCATGACATCTTTACAGTCACTACCTTTTGCTCTCACTATGCCTCCAGGTCCTACAGCCTGCAAAGGGGAAAACTCTCTCGCACAACAATACTTACTCGAGGGCATTGTGCAATCCTAAGACCACCACCACCACTACAGGAAAACACACAGCTTCCTCTCTTTGGGTCAACGCTTCTTACTTTTTTTTAAAACTTGAAATCCACTGACTTGCACTCTCTTTTTTTACGTGCAGGTGATTGCCAGTGTGTCACCTTGACCACAAAAGTGCAGCCTGAAAGAACAACATGTGCACCTGTCCTTTCTGTTCAGTCTGTAGAGTGAGACCCAGCTGGGTTAAAGAAGTTGTGCACAGGACAAAAGTCACCTCCAACTCATCTGCTTTGCACTTGTGTGTTTACTCTCTCCAGTAACTTCATTGGTGCTGATACCAGCAAACCAGCAACCCCAAAAAAATTTTGTCTGATTTTATAAGAACGCACTGGGACTCATTTTCTGTAGAAAAATGATGCACAGGTGTAGGCAGATGTTTCTCTTTAACTGAAAATGGGACATCTACATTGTTAGACTGATACTAAGAAGAAACAGGCCCTAACACTTAAAAAGAAATTGTACTACAGGCATTTTGTACTGAGTTTTTTTGTTGTTCTGGTGTTGATTTTTTAGTTTTCTTGAGATAACAACTAGGCATCTGATAGGTGTTATGTAGGTCTTCCAGCCACGTTCAGAACAAGACTTACTGTGCCAAAAAACCGCGTAAATTATCGTACAAATTAGCGTGCAAATTATCAGTACCATCTCTACATCACACTGCCTATTTCACAGAGCTAAGAATCAGATGACAACATGGAAAAAAAGGAAGAGTACATGCAGCCATGAGTACATTGATGCTAAGAAATATGATTAAGGAAGTTTGGTTAAGAACATACTGGAAAGAAAAGGCCTTTATAATACAAACATTCAAACAATTTCAGCACAGATTTTTAAAAAAAATTATTCTTCTAAGTTATTATTGTTATGAATGTCATAAGTGTGAAGTCTTGCAAATACTAAAGACAGTTCCTCACAATCTAGGAGAGAAATCAGATCAATAGAATGAAGATAAAAAGAAAAAAAATTAAAGCTAAGCAAACTCCAGCTCTTGGTTGCAGTAGCAATTTCAGACTGAAAAAAAAAAAGTATATTATTTTAGGGAAATGGAAAGAGTATTTTCACATACTTTCAAAAGTCAAGACAGGTTTAATATGGATTCCCCTTAATTGTCCTATTTGAACAAAAATCAAATAATTAATTTAAAAATTTTGGGTTTACTAATCAAAAGTGTTTAAAAGAATGAAAACTATTTAGTCATGTGCTTTAGGAATTCCAAAACAGTGTTTTGAATGGTTTTATTTTCAACTGAAAAAGGTTGCTAGAAACATCAGCGGTTTGTAAAGATTTTTCTGAATAACTTATTTTTTTTAACTAAAGCAAAGATTTATGTAGGAAAAAACCTCCCCCACACACACTACATAGGTTGTATGTAGTTTAACTCATATTGTCCATGAAAAATATGTTTTTCTCAACAGAAAACCAAAGAATTGCAACAACACTAAAGTTATCCAAGACTACAGCTGCTCAAAGAGTAGCCTGAATATTTCATTAAACATTTTATTAAAAAATAAAGTGGTTTGACATTTTAAACTTGTATTCAAGTTAAAACACCTCAGTGACTGCTGGCTGGACTACTTCAGAAGCAGGCCTTTCTGAGCAACTTCAGAATACAGAGTGTGTAAATGCTTTGCAGAAAAGAACAGAGAATGCAGAAACACAGACGCCGTTAGTTGTGCCAGGAGAAGCTAAATGGGTGAGAACGTCGAGCTATAAAATCATCACTGGAAGCGTTACTTGTGCAGATTGATTGAAGGCCATTTGATAAACAGTGAGGGCTTGCTTCAGGACTTACTTCAAAGCAGTCATCAGAGGCTTACACTTGTACAGAGCAGGTTAACCATTGCTCAGGCATTTCATGAAGGCCAAAAAAACAAAAAAAAAGCTCTTTGGGATTACCAAATTTCATGAGACTTGGACATGCTGAGAGGGAAGATTTAATAAGATGCTCTAGACATGAGTAATAAGGAAAAAAGAGTAAAAGTTCCCAGAATAGGGCCTACATGTTGGGAACTACTGACAACAGTGATGAAGAGGGGAGAAGGAAAATCCTTAGACAATGGCCCAGTGCCACATTTCTTGTAAGCTGACAGAAAGGCTCTCACTAAGAAACAACAGACAAGTGAACTACCACCCACGACTGGAAGATTTTAAGAGAGGGAGTCATCAGTGCAAAAACAAGAGCCAAAGCCAAGGGAAGCTGGCAGAGCCACCATATTACACTCCTTGACTAGACTTGTTTTGCAGGAGGACAGCACTGGAGCTTTTGCAGCCCTGGCTTGCACCGGGAGCCAAAAGGTCAAGCTTTATGTCACAGCAACTTCAGGGATTGGTTTTGAGTAACTGAATGATCTGAATGGATAATCATGATTCTTTACTGTATTATTTCTGACTTATACTGCTCATATACTCCCAAAACCCTTAAATAAAATACATTCATTTGGTCTTTATATATATTTATACACACACACACACACAGATTGACATGATGGAGAATTCAGGACTTGTTATGGTCCTATTAATAGTAATAACAAAACCATGCTCAGCAAAAGCAGGTAGAGACAGACCATTTTTTAGTCAGATGGACACACAGATTTTCTCTCTAGTAATGTTTCTCCAATTGCCTAAACCTTACTATCACTGAATTATATATTCTGCAGGAAACAAATGAAAAAATATATACAGAATATATAGAACAGTCCTAATGTGAATCAAAATCTACTGTAGGTTGCATTAATCAGTGAGAGATTGTAACTATAAATGTTATTTGCACATCAATTGAAAAAATGGTAACTACAAGTTAGTGAACTCATAACTCTGACAGAAATTTCCCAGGTCAAAAAAAGATTAACCCATATTTGAGTGAAAAAAAATTTTAAAGAAGAAAAACAGAAGATTCTGTTTTTTCCCTTGAAATTAAACAGATGCTGGACAGACTGGAAATAATTACAACCCAAAGCTCTGGTAAATTATGAAATGTCCACTTTAAAACTAGTTGAATCACCTCAGCTGTCCCTTGCCCCAGGCAGGATCAAGGAAAATGTGTCAACTATTCACAACAGCATCTGGATAATTTAAGACTGAAGAGGGGATCTAACCTGGATTTATTAGCCTGCCTCTGGCACTAGCTCTGTAACATTTTTACTAACGCTAAGGTGGTCATACAGAGTTACTGCAAAGATTTACAAAAACATTTCTGAAATGTGTATCTTTTGAATGAAGATTTATCATTGAGGCCTCAGGTTGCCCCAAGCTCACCAACCACTTTTTCTCTTTGCACTCTTATACTGTCCTAAGGATTGTTCTTCCTTTGCTTTCTAAATACTCGATTATTTACCTGGAAAATAACCAGAAGCTGAACTGCAGATTAAGAGACATATTTTTCTAAAGCAAAGGCATAAAATTTCTAAAGGGAAAATAATATTTTGAATTAAGAAGAAAGTGTTTCCATTGGAAAAATAAGATTCCACAATAAAGTCATCTATTTAGAGGTACCCGCTGAAAGTTTACCAGTATTTATGTTTCTGTGTGCATTGATGCAATGTATTTCAAAAGTGTGAATAAAGGACCAGTGTTTTGTTCACTCAGTTGGTCTGCAAAGTTCAGATAAATGATATTTCTGCAAATTTCCAAACTATAAGGTAATGGAGCTTGGCTATAAGACAAAATTTACAATACTTCTTGGTCTCAATCAGAACATATTAAAAGCATTTCTACAGAGTACAAAGTAATAGCTCGTTAGTAAAAAAATGAAATTTAAACAGCAAATTATTGTCTTTGTACCCAAGCTGCCTAGCCTCTGAATAACAATAATTTTTCTTTTTCCTTCTCATGTTACATCTTTTTAAATCATAGGGGATTTTTTTGAGTGAAGGATTATATTTTGTTATGTTCAACAACAAGGTTTTGCATGAGAAGTTGATGTTTGCCATAGGACGTTTTAGTTGTACTGTGATACAAATAACTTAATGGAATCATTCGCTTCTCCTGAAAATGAAGCCTGTTTCTCAAGTCTTTCTCAAGCAGTATCCAGGGACTGTGATGTGGAAAACACTAGAAATTCTGTAAAAATACCTGCTTATAACAGAGCTGTTGGAATTGTGCTGGACAGTGGTAGTGATGGTGGGGAATCATGCTTCAAGGATCATTCCTTGATCCTGCCTGGATTAATCAGCAGTTCTGCACAAGTTTTACTCCACTGGAGAAGGATTTACTCTTTCTGGCTAAATGTGCTGCTTCTGGAGATAGAACTAGGGCATGTCAAATCTTGCTTTTTTTAAGGTAGGCATAACAAAACTAAAACTGACATGGGGCGTTTCCTTTGTAACAGACAGACAGTTCGTCTCTTTTCAATCTCAAAATCTTGAGGGAACCACATTTCTAATAATTTTCTCCTTAAATCTGCACATTCCACCAACAAGAACAAGAACTGCACCACTTCAGGCAATTTTTTATGCCACTAACTCAACAAAATTAGAATAATTGCTATGAACAGCTTTGTATATTTCCCTCCCAAAGACTAAATTGTGGCACCAACTGCAAAGCTGATAGCTCAACTAATTTTTTTTTTAATTGGACCTTTCTTTCTAAAATAAAACAGTTAAAAAACCAAAGAACTAACTAGTTTCACTGTGGGAGACATCAGTGTCACATTCATATTTTTTCCACACTCCCACAATTTACATACCGATCTCAACACAATTCACAAGTACTTTACATTTACATTTACAAATGCTACCATCTGACAAGA